GAGAAGGATGGAACTGCGTCGCTGTGCAAGCCAGTTGGACCGGAGACTGGCGCGGACAGAGTCGGGAAAGTGGACTCTTCTGGTATTCCGACCTGAGGATATCGGGATCAATCCAGATTGCTCGGAAGGTCTGTCGGCGGTCTGAGGCTGTCGGCGATCGCCAGGGCGGAGAATCTTGCGCTGGACGATTCGAATTGGCTGGCACCGAGCCCGGAGGGATGATGCCGTGCGAGGAACGGTCGGCGATGGCTTGAAGCCTACCATCGGCGAGAGGAACAATCCGGTTCACCCATCGATGGTCAGCACCATCAACGGGAGACAAAGCACGATCCGGATTGTCCTCGAGCTTGTCATCCAGCACGCTCATGTGAGCCAGGGTCGTCCATCAAAGCGGCAGGACGACCGAGATTCTGCCCAGTCATCTCGAGGAAAGCAGGGAGACGACCGACTTGGCATGCTCCTCGGATACAAGCCCGCCACCACCACACCCCGCAAACAATGGCTTAGGGATTGGAAGAGTCGGAATCCTCTTCCGGGCTCGCGCCCTGTGTTCCTCCGTTGGGAAGACGACCGTTGGTTTCAGGCCGGTCGAGATTGCCATTCCCAAGCTCGCGAGAGCGGTTGGGAGCGGTTCTCTCGAACCGGTTGAGCCGTTCAGCCGGCTCCCCACGGGTTTCCCTGGCGCCATTGCCGTTCCGGCGAGCCCCGGGCTGGCTCTCTGGTCTTCTGCGGCCGCCGACGAAGGCCTCGATGTCCCGCCCGGTCAGGCGAGTGGAAGTTGGCGTACTGGGCGGCCCGCCAGCGACCTGGGCGAGCACCCCGACGCCTCCTTCAGGGAGGGCCGCAGCCACCGACACGATCCCCGGTGGGAAAGTGCGCGGGGCCGCTTGGGCAGCCTGACCGGGCTGACTTGGCGCGGAAGACTGGCCGGGCGAAGGTGCTGAAGATGTCGGAGATTCGCTCTCCGCGGCTACCTCTTCGCCGGCCGGTGATGGTGGTGGTGCTGCCACACCCGCCACACCCGTGCGTCCGCGCAGCAAGTCATCCAACTGCCGAAGGTTCCCAGCTAGCTCATCGCGGTCGCCAGAGTCCGATCTGTCGGCGGGGTGCTAACCCGCGACACTTGCCGAACTCTGGCTCTGCTGGCTGGGTGATCTTCCTTGTCCCGGCGGTGTCGAAGGGGGCTCGGAAGGGACCGCGGGCAGAGCGGGAAGGAGACCTGGGGCCGACACACCATTGACGTAGCCGCCATTGGTGTTGCCATTCGCATGGCCGTCGTGGGCGGGAGCGCGAGGAGCCTGGTCGCTGCCGCCGGGCTGGATGGGGCCAGCAGCGCCGTTGACGAGATCTTCGTCGCTCGAGGAGCTGTCCCCGGCTCCAAGGTCTCCGTTGACACCGTTGGTGCCGTCGACGCCGTTGCCGTTGACGCCCGCGGGACCATCACCAGGGGGAATTCCTGTCCGCGGAGGCGAACCACCATTTGGCTCATCATCGGGATGATGATGGCCGTTGACTTGGGTGGTGCCGTTCATCTTGGGAGCAGGAAAACACCGAGAAAAACAAAGTCGGGAAGAAAAGGGGGGCCAGAAACAAAAGAAAAAGAGCTTGCCGATTGGAGCTGGGCGAAGCAGGGGGATTGGTCTGGATGGTGGGTGCTGGGTGCTGGTGTTGGTGGTGATGGCGCCGACTTTGTTGTTGAAGAAAGTCGGCGAGAGCTTGGTTGGGATGGGCAAGTAAATAACCGTGGGGGGCGGTGTGGAATATCGTCAGGCTCCTCGGCGGCAGAATCGAAAACTCTGCTGTGCTTAGGGCACAGGGACTTGGGCTTGGCCGGTAGGGTTCTCACGCCGTTTGTCTGGGCTTGTTTAGGAAGGAACGGCAAGTGTGAAGGGTGGATGGGGGAACGAATTGCCGGGCGGGCGGTGTTGAATATTGGCCAGCACGTCGAGTTCACACTGGCATGATCCGCGATGATTTGGTGCTCGGGCATCTTGAACACAGAAAGTACGCTTTTTCTACTTGGTCCCTACACCTCTTGCCTGTCAGAACTTCATCGGCACGGAAAACCCTGCCCATGACAAGGGAGCACCCGCATGTTTTTGGGCGTCTTTTTCTTGGGGCGTTGCACACTTTCACACAGTCGATTGGGCGATTGAGCCAACAACACCAATGACGGAGAGAGGGGGGGGACGAAGGACTGCGGAGCAGCTTCTGAAGGTGCTCCGAGGTGCCAACGTCGAGTCTCCGAAACGGCCAAAGTGCCCGCCCTCAAGCGACTCCTATGGATGCACAACCACGGATGGCAGGCCATGATCAACTACCGAGACGTCCGCGGCCATGTGCCTACTCACGACCAGTTTCCACTAGCCTCGGACGAGTCCGATGTCGCCGACACCATGGATGTCATCAAAGACACCCTAGAAAGAGTCAACAGTACCGGGGAGGATCACAGCGCGGCTGGCCGCGACACTCGCCGGGCCGGCGGGCTCGCGCTGTCGGGGGGAGGGGGAGGGGAAGAGGGGGGGGAAGTTCAAGAGGATGTCAATAAAAATTCGATCAACATTTTCTTACATGTTTCTCGAATGGCAAGTGCATGGTGCTCAGTTTATTGTTTATTGATATGGGTTGTGTGATTCAGGGGTACATCACAAGGTCCATGACATGCCACAAACCAGGTTTCCATTCACACTTTTAAATGAGAAAACTATCATTCCACATAGGAATAAACCTCCATCAACTATTCCACTCTTGTTTTGTCACTATCATTCGTCCCACGCTGTGTCCTAGTGGTGAGACAGATGTCGTCCGTGTATGCAATTAGCGGGGCGGCATTGCAGAATGGCGCAATATGACCCCATCCCTGGCTCCCCGATTCCGGACCCTCCTCAAAGCAGATCCTCCACACCACAAACACATGCGGCAATAAGCATAGTAAGCTCCAATGGGATGAGAATTCCCGAATGAGCAAGGTGATTGGTCTGCTTCGCTTTTAAAGCCCGTCTCCCTCCCTTTTTCCTCTCTTTCTGATGCTCCACCGTGAGTGAAGGAAATCCCATGAACTGCCCCGCCTTCCTGTCTGCTGCTGCCCGGCGACCCCTCCAAATAGCAGCTCGAGTACGCCCACCACGGCAACGACAACTACACATATCCGCCGCAGCCATGAGCCAGAAACTACAGCCAGCGGCGCGGGTGGCCAGCCAGCGCCAGGACGTATGGTCCATCGTCAACGAGGCAGCCGCCGCCTCCCCCAAACAGCCCATCATCAACATGGGCCAGGGCTTCTTCGGGTACAACCCGCCAGATTTTATCCTGAGAGCGGCCAAGAGCGCGCTCGACCGCGTCGAGTGCAACCAGTACTCGCCCACGCGCGGCCGGCCGCGGCTCAAGCAGGCCATCGCGGATGCGTATGCGCCGCACTGGGGGAGGCGGCTCGACCCGGACACGGAGATTACTATCACCACCGGTGCGAACGAGGGCATGTTGAGTGCTTTTATGGCGTTCATCGAGCCCGGGGATGAGGTCATCATCTTTGAGCCGTTCTTTGATCAGTACATCAGCAACATCGAGATGGCGGGCGGCAAGATTGTGTATGTGCCTATGCATCCGCCGCCGGCGGGCGGGGAGAAGACGTTGTCGGCGGGGGAGTGGACGATTGATTTTGAGTTTTTGGAGAAGGCGGTCACGCCGAGGACGAAGATGCTTGTTCTTAATACGCCGCGTGAGTTTTTTTTTGTCGCTTCTGAGTTGGACAGATAGATGATACTGACCAGTGGGCGGCAGATAACCCCGTCGGCAAGGTGTACTCCAAGCAAGAGCTGGAGCGCATCGCGGACATTTGCCTCAAGAACCAGGTCATCATCCTGTCGGATGAGGTGTATGACCGGCTCTTCTACGTGCCCTTTACTCGGATCGCCACGCTGTCGCCCGAGGTGGAGAAGATCACGCTGACGGTCGGGTCGGCTGGCAAGAATTTCTACGCAACCGGCTGGCGTGTCGGTATGTTTTTTTGTCTTGAGACATAATCCAACGTGAGACTGACATCCGTAGGCTGGCTGATGGGTCCCGCGGAGCTGATTCAGTATGTTGCGGCAGCGCACACGCGTATCTGCTACAGCTCGGTGTCCCCGCTGCAAGAAGCCTGTGCCATTGGTATGTCCTCCCTTGTTTTTTTAACACAGTCGAACAAAATCTAACAGGCAACAGGCTTTGAACAAGCCGACGCCGAGGGCTTCTGGGACCAGTGCATCACCGACATGAAGAACAAGATGGACCGCTTCAACCAGGTCTGGGACGAACTGGGCATCCCCTACTCAGAGCCCGAGGGCGGTTACTTTGTTATGGTCAACCTTGCCAAGGTCCAGCTGCCTGATGGGTACCCGTTCCCACCGCACGTGGCCGACCGGCCACGTGATTTCAAGCTGGCGTGGTTCCTGATTCAGGAGCTGGGCGTGGCGGCCATCCCGCCGTCGGAGTTTTACACGGATGCGAATGCGCATATTGTGGAGGATTATCTGCGGTTTGCGGTGTGCAAGCCGGACGATGTATTGGAGACGGCCAAGGAGCGGTTGAGGGGGTTGAAGAAGTATATTCGGGCTGACTGATCGGTAATGTATGGAGGGAGAAGATACGAGGGTCTGGAGTATGGCGCTGATTTAGAGTATTGAGTTCGAAGCGATGATTTGTGGATGTACGATATCTCGGATCAAAGCAATCTGGGTACCGAAATCCTGGTAGAGGATAGAGAGGTGCAAAAAAAAGATGTTTCAGCCACAAGGATGGAGAATTTGGGCGGGCTGGGAATCGAACCCAGGTCTTTCAATGAACGCTTGGTATGTAAATATAGAAAACAACGCTGAAATCCGCTTAGGGAAGAAAGCACGCTCAGGGAATGCGCTGACCACTACGCTACCCGCCCGTCTGTTCTGTTGGTATATGGTAGTGTGGTTTGAATCTATATACCTCATTTATGTTGACACCAACAGAGCAAAAAAGGAAGAGCTTGGGCGGGCTGGGAGTCGAACCCAGGTCTTTCGCTAAACGCTGAGGAAGAGAAGATAGAGAAGAAAACAACGCTGAAACGCTTAGGAACGCGCTGACCACTACGCTACCCGCCCTTTGGAGCTTTCACTGAATAGGGTACTGTCGATTAAGACTATATACCCCGTTACCGGATGCTGTGAATGAGTTAAAAAGAAGAGCTTGGGCGGGCTGGGATTCGAACCCAGGTCTTTCAATGAACGCTTGGTGTGTATATTTAGAAAACAACGCTGAGATCCGCTTAGGGAAGAACACGCTCAGGGAATGCGCTGACCACTACGCTACCCGCCCTTCTGTTTTGTTAGTCTGTGGTAGTGTGGTTTGAATCCATATACCCCAAGCCCTTGATGACGCCAGGGCAAAAAATTGACGGAGTTTGGGCAGACTGGGAATCGAATCCAGGGCTTTTCCTGAAGAACAGGCTTAGCACTTGAACTGGGTTTCGAACCCATACTCCAAGCAGATTCGTAGTGACTCCGCTATTCCAACAACAAACGGGACCCGTGTTAATCCCAGTTCAATATCCCATGTTCCGCAACTTGGTGTGCTTATACCTGGCTGGAGATTATTCAGCACCATCGTCAAGCTACATTTGAAAGCTTATTTCCATGAGACATGCTCAAATAAAGCGAATATATACTCTAAGCTGACAGCCAAGTCCGAGACAACTCCGTACATACAGTCAACCAACCCAGAGACAAAATCGGCACATCGTCAGAAAGCAAAGAACTACTTTGCAAAGTGCAAACACTGCGTATAAGAATACGACAGCAGCCCCTGCTTCCCCATCTCCCCCCCAAACCCACTATCCTTCATGCCCGCAAAGTACGCCCCAAAGTTAGGCCTCTCAAACTGATTGATATAAACACTCCCCGCCTCGAGCCTTCGCGCAATCCTCTCCGCTTTCTGCAAATCAGTCGAATAAATCGACGCCCCCAAGCCGGCATTCGCCAGATTCGAACGGCTCACAACATCGTCCTCGTCTGACCAGGCCAAAACCGGCAAGACCGGTCCAAACTGCTCCTCTTTCACCAGCGTACAGTCCTCGGGCGGCCGCGAGACAATAGTCGGCTCAAGCCAGAACCCTTTTCCACTCGCCGACACAGACGCAGTCTTCCCACCCGTGACAATATCGAAATTCTGCGCCTTGCACTCCTCGATAATCGCCCTCACCGACTCGAACTGCGCCTTGTTGTCCACCGGCCCAAACACCGACGGGGCGCGCGGGTTTTCCTGGACGCCGTATTTCGTCTCGACCTCCTCCACCAACCTCTTGAGGAACTCGTCGTAAATCGACTCGTGGACATAAATCCGCTTGCTCGCGACGCACACCTGGCCCGCATTAAAGAAGGCGCCGCTCGCGACCGACGGGATTGTTTTGTCGAAATCTGCATCGGCACACACAATACAGGCATCATTCCCGGCCAACTCCAACGTAACTTTCTTCAGCGTCTTCGCGCACGCCGCCATGACCCGCTTGCCGGTGGCGATGGTGCCGGTGAAGCTGATCTTCGCGATGCCGGGGTGCAGCGTCATCAGCGAGCCGAGGTCGGCGCCGCCGTTGAGCACCTGGAAGACGCCGGGCGGCAAGATGCCCCGGGACAGCTCGACCCACTTCATCACGGCGTAGGGCGTGAAGGGCGAGGGCTTGACGATGACGCAGTTGCCCGTGACCAGCGACGAGACCACCTTGATGTTGGACAGGATGAGCGGGAAGTTCCACGGGCAGATGGCCGCGACCACGCCCAGGGGCGTGTGTGTGGCCACGACGCGGGTCGTGTCGTCTTCGTATTGGACTTCATCTTCCAGCGCGGTTTTTGCTAACACTTTTTTTCAGCGCCGTATTATCGCTAAGAACGAAAAGGGGGAGATATATACAATAATACAAACACTGCGCAATAGAAGCTTTAATGTCGATATCTGCGAGAATGGCCGACTTGCCCGTCTCCTGCGACAAGATCTCGCCGAGTTCCGAGGAATGCTCCTCGAGCACGTCGGCCAGCTTGACCAGTGCCGCCTGTCGTTCTGCGACGGTCGTGCGGCCCCATGTGACGAAGGCCTTTTGGGCGGCGGAGACGGCCTCCTCGAAGTCGTCGGTCGAGGCGATCGGGCAGGGCCAGAGATTGTCCTCGGTGCGCGGGTTGGTCACGGCATGTGTCTTGTCTGAGGAGCGGAGCTCGTCGTTGATGATGTTGTAAAATTTTGGCTGCATTTTGTTTTGTTTCCTTTCCGCCAAATTCTATGTGCTTGGGAGAGAGAGGGTATGTTGTCAAGACGATGATTGGGGGGCAAAGGAAGGAGCAAAAAGGGATGGAGATGGGACAGCAGGGAGTTTTGGGGATTTCGTCGTTCGTGCCAAAAAGAAGAAGCCGAAACATTTATCACACACGCCGGCAGTTTTCCTATCGTCCGTTGGGCCGTTTGTTGGTTCAACTTTCCACTCCAAAATTTACCCGGATGCCATTTTCCCAGCCATACACTACATACATGGTTCACACCAAGACGCAAGCAAACGGGCGGCAGATCTCCAACACGCGCGCGGCGACGCGGAGAGCGGAGAATGAGGGGTTCTTCGTTGGCGCTCCGCTCGAGATGCGAAGCGTTTGGCCATGGGCGGCCAAGTTTGGAGTACTAGAACTAGGTGTGGATGTTACATTGCGGCGGACAAGGTATCCAAGTCTATCGAGTACCACTCAGGGACGACGAAGATGATTTGCAATCGACCCGCTTCGATAAAAGCAGTGGGTATCCAGAGAATGAAACCCCGTTTCATGCTAACTGCAGAGCAATAAAAGGCTTGGCGGGTGTGTTGGACGGGCATCATGGAAGAATAGAAGGCATCGTAGAAGGCATCATGAGCTCGGGAACTCGGATGGTGCCGAAACGGTAAATTGATTAGAACTACGGAATAAATAGGCACTCATAAATGAACCCCCCTGAATTACCCAAGCAGCCCGAGCGACTTGACCCATCCATCGGAACTTGCCGACTACCCGACTCCCAGTTCTTGCGAACCCATTTATAGATATACTCTTTCCAGAGGAAAGAAGAAGTAAAAGATAATAGGAACTGCAAAATGGTGATAGAAAAAAAAAACCATTTCCATGTCAAAAGCAAAGATCTTTTTTCTCCTGCAAACAGTGAAGTTGATCATCAGGAGGAATCATCCCCGATATATCGTCGATGGCGATGAGCTTGATAAAACATCATGAGCCGCCGTAGATTTTCCCACGTCCACTTGAGCTGAGTGGTTGAGCGGATCAAGTTCTCGGGTTCTAGATTCTGTTCTAGGGTGGGTATTACGAACCTTGACTGACTCCTTGGATGGAATCCCACTTCAAATATATCAGCTTCTGGGTTTGGGGACTAGGTCTAGGGCTATTATGGTCCGGTGCGGCGGTGACATCTAGAGCGTAGGTAGATTTCCGGTTCGTCGAAAAGCTATACTTTCAGGTTTCGCCTGTGGTAGGTAAGGTACCTGATCTCACAGCCATGTACCTGAGTTTCCTCCACCACGGAAGTATCGTCCATCGACTGGGGCGACAGGATATCCCCCTCGGGCATGAAGCAGACTTGTTGAACACCCAGTGGGGGGGTCTGTTTACCAGGACAAACATGGCGTTGGTTTTTCGGGGCATTTCTTGCTTCCAGCACTACCTTTACTTTAGCTCACACCATGGTGGGCCGCCTCTTGATTGCTTGGCAGCGTTGCGCAGCGAGCTGAGGTAGGTGGCAGTACGGCATGCCTGACACATTCATCGGCGCCGGCAACAGCGTATTCTTACGGAGATGCAGAGATATAGCTCATCAGGTAAATGGGGTAGCTGACCACCACCGCCCCTGAGCGCTCCGGCCGCAGAATCAATGATTCGGCGGCGCCCCTGGTTTCTTCCCGCTACCGTCAAGCCGAAGTCACGGGATATAGCAGCCTTGAATTGTTTGGCACGCCTGCTCGTGTGTAGTCCCCTGCAAGGGTGCCGAGCACCTCGAGGATCAACGAAACGAACGGACCACGAGTCTGGGCGACCCGTCCGTGGTTGCAAGGGTTATTCTAGGGTATTTTCCTGTCGCAGGGTTAGGGTGTGGAGAGCCCCGAGACGCTGGCTGGAGCCGGCCGACGGAGCGGGCAGGGCGGGGCCGGCAGTGGCCTCTGGCGATGGAGCTACCCCACCTGGCCTGCCCAGCCTAGTGCCCAGCTGTGCTCCCACCTTATTCCCTTTGCTCTGCCCCTCACTCGCCGTCCCCGATAAGGCGTCTCTGGATGTCTGCACCACGCCCTAACTGGCTCGAGGCATTTTGGGCTCGTCGTCCAGGGTCATGCGGGGGCTATCTAGGTCTAGTCGGCACCCGGCGAATGCACGGCGTGGGATGAGCTCAGATCGAAGCGGATCAAAGACGATGCCAGGTTGGGAACACGCCGTCGCCACCCTCGCCGTTGTAGTTCCACCTGGCGCCGGCCTTATTAGCTAGCTCCCCCCTCCTTTTCTGCCCCGCGGACACAACTAGAGCACGTAGCTTGGTGACAAGAAGAAGATGGCCCCAATCGCCATCTCGCCCGAGCCCGGTCCGGCACTGGCCAAGGCCTTGACCACGACCTACCAAGACACGCTGCGCTTCTACCTCAATGGCACCCGCGTGGTCCTGGACGAAATCGACCCCGAGATCACCCTGCTCGAGTACCTGCGCGGCATTGGCCTGACCGGCACCAAGTTGTACGTTTTCTCAAAAAAGTCTTTCAACCTCCACCTACTAATACGCCAAAGGGGCTGTGGCGAAGGCGGATGCGGTGCCTGTACCGTTGTAGTCTCCCAGTACAACCCCACGACCAAGCAGATCTACCATGCCAGCGTCAACGCCTGTCTGGCCCCCCTCGCGTCGGTCGACGGAAAACATGTCATCACGATCGAGGGCATCGGCAATGTCAAGAAGCCCCATCCGGCCCAAGAACGGGTGGCCAAGAGCCACGGCTCGCAGTGTGGCTTTTGTACACCCGGCATCGTCATGAGCCTCTATGCTCTCCTCCGCAACAACCCCAGCCCGACCGAACACGACGTCGAAGAAGCCTTTGACGGAAACC